CCCTAACTATTCTATGATTCTATAAAATACATTACATACAATTTTCCTAAATAAATCAATAAGGACCACATTTTAGAGAACTTGAATCTGGCAAAATCTCCTTATGTGATATAAAACTATATAGATGACTTTCTGCCACATTTTAGTTTTAAACAACTATGGCACATCCAGTTTCAAAAGTAAAGAATGCCTCATTAGCTACCTTTACAAAGACAACAATGCGAGAACCACTGACTTGTCTCCACTAAACACTATTCCCATTCTCTTACCTGTTATCAAGGCAGAGTGATAATATCCACAGGATACAGAGGAAACAGGTTTTCCAACATCCACTTGACATGGGACACTGACACAGGCTTCATCAGCCAAGCCAATCTGACCTTCTGAATTGTCACCCCACACAAAAAGCTGCCCATCCTCTAAAATGAAGACACGGATAGTTAACAGATTTTAAACCAAAACTCATAAGAAGTTAATCTACCCATTTAAGAGCATTTCATAAATGTGGTATTAGCATGATCATACTAAATGTTATGTTCTAAGGGACATAAATGGTATTTAGTCCAATGCAACAAAATAGTCTAAAGTAATAGGGTACCCCATAAGCTTTGCAAAACTGACACAGAACACTTAGTCATCATGGATGTTAGATCATAACCAGCTATATGAAAAGTACTATGTAAAAATATTCTTTCAAAAAGAGGAAGACTGAATGGCTAAAATAGTTAAGTTGCCAGAGGTCAGTATGAAAATACTATGGTGAATTCAAGACATCGTCTCATTTCTAGTAGGCAAGTCACCACTTTCTCATTGTTCCAGGTTATTAAGACCAGCTCTTGACACAAAGACCTATGGCAGCAGTTATTATTGGTGGGAAATAATTTGTGAATTAAAAAGTGTACAGTGCTACTGAGATGCTGTTAGGAACTAAAATCATTCAAACTTGACTTACAAATCTCAGGAGAATGTTAGCAATTGTCACAAAAAAAGTACAAACCAAACAAGCAGGCTAGTGTGTCTCTCATACATTCTTATGCTGTCACATTCTGAAGTAACAGTCTCAGTAACTCATCCTAAGGATGTGCAGAAGAGCTGCTTTATACCAAAACTTGAAAAATTATATTGTAAGCTAACAAAGGAACACCCATCCAGTGGTTAAAAGTATTCTCTGTGGACTTCAGGGTGTCACAATTGTATAATTTTGCTACCAGTGAAATAGGTCATAGGTTAAGCCTTTCAGAATTAGTAAAGACACAGCTGTATAGCCTGTACCAGTAGACCAAAATAGTTGCTCTAAGAACTGGAATTAGAGAAGCTTAGCTTTCATAAGATTCATGTTTGTAGCTGGCTCCCCTGGAAATTAACTAAGAATTTTGTCATTTTGACTAAACTAGCACAGGTTGAGCTCCCATTGCAGGCTATTGCTCATGGAAAAGGGGTACTTTCACAGAAATTGTAGGAAGTTAATGAGACTGCCACCCCTTACCAGACTGTGCTGAAATAAACGATTTGCTATTAAAAAATTGCTAGTGTTAATAGTGAAAGAAGGCAGGGAGGCATAGAAAATACAACCATAGAAAATACAACCACATATGCAGAAAGAATGTTGGAATTAATGTTTTCCTGGAACACCAGGCTGGACACACATAAACAGATTTTATTAGTAGTTGCTCTTACCAGTTACTGCTGCTGAGGTGTATGATCCAGCTGCTAGCTGTTTGATCTTGTGCTGGTTGGTAAAAAAACTGATTAAATGAAATGTGGTCCTTTCCTCTGTGTCACCTAATCCCAACTGACCTTCACTGTTACCTCCAGCAGCATACACATTTCCTTTTTCTGCATATAGAAAAGCATACGTAATACACAGAATGAAGACATTCTCATCAGTGGTAAAAAGACAGAGAAACTGAAGTAAGTAATTTAAAAAACATTACAGAAAAGTTGGGGTCTACTGCCCTGAAACACCCCAAGTTGGCATTAGCAATTTCTGTTGTAGCTAGCAAAGAGGCTTTCCTGAACACACTTGGATCAGAATTTTCTAACAGCCATATATGCGTCTCCCACCAGTCTGGAGACTGATCTAAAAAGTAAATATAATCTGAAGCTCCACAAGAGCTCTGAAAAAATGCTTACTAGAAGCCCTGGCAGCCAGAAGCAGCTCCATCCCCAAATAATGTGTATTTTGAGACACAGCAGGAGGAAAATTGTGAAATGATGTCACAGGCAAGATAACTGAAGTCGTAGGAGTACGTAAATTAAACAGATGCATAACTTGATAGCTTTGAGTACTGTGAATGAAATAAATTTTTGCTTAGGTTTTTATTAGCAACATATTACTCATTTTAATATTGAAAACTTTTGATTTAATTAACTAGGGTTTTTTTTTTGTTTTAGAATCTTAAAATTGAAGTTAAAGGTGATGATTGATATCTTTAACTTAACAGAACTTGAAGATCTATATTTTTAATTTTAGTGTTTCACATCCAAAGTGATAAGGCCCATTAATAACTCAAATCCAAATACAAATGTGATAAGCAGCTGACATACAATGTATAAATAGTTCTTGCTATACAAATGGCCACAAATTATCCAGCCAGTCTGTACACTAAAAGCAACTAATATTTACCCTGTGCAGTCTTGAATACTCAACTGTTATGAAAATGTTCTGGTTTATTACAATAGTCTTATTTACAGTGCTCAGGGTCTCCACATATATAAACCTCCTCTTTATAACATTATTGCAAGCTAAAAATGATTGCAACCACAAAATTGGCTATTCCACTACATAAATTCTAGAAGCATGACAAGAATGTGCATCAATTCTCCGTATACTGTCTCAAAAAATTTACTTTTTAGTTTAAATTTAATTTGTTTGTAGATTAATAAATCAACATGTCATTGAAATAGCAAACTATCTTGTCTAATCAAAATGCAACGAAATATGAAGAGCTATCTTCACACTAATAAAAATAAATTACTTGTCAAAGATAAATTTGAGTACAGATACATAGAAAATACTAATATACCTTTACAGGGCTTAAATGAAATATTGGTAATTGCTAACCACACCTCAAATGCCAGCAAGGCATTTTTTTCACCTGTCTGTTGCTAGCAAACTCCCATATACTATCACCTTATAATATAAGAATAAATGAACCATTCAAAGAACTGGAAGCCAAAACATCAAGTTTTAACAGTCCCATTTTAACTTCTTTTTCCTTCCTCGACACTCACAGAGTTCCTAATATAATTTTGAATGAAAGCAAGGGAATAAATCTATCTTAAATCTATCCTTAATACGTATATAATATAGGTTACATACCTGTGTAAACTAAAGTGTGGTTTCTTCCACAAACAGCAAGTTTTGTTTTTTCTGGTTTTAAAGCTATGAATTAAAGCCAAAAGGAAGGGAGAAGTTATAAACAAGCTGATAGCTGGTTCAAAACCAACATGTTCTACGCTCTAGAAGGAGCTCTGATTTTTTTCATATTTTTACCAACAGAATGATTACAAGATTTATTGCCCATCTGAATCTAGCATATGACTTACAAAAACAGGCTGCCCCCAAGACAAGAAAACACATATAGACATTAAAAACTTATAGCTGACACTCAGGTTAAACTTGATGATGGCTACTTCATCCCAGTGCCACATTCCCCAGAATTTACCATTTGTGGGATATGCCTTGAAGAACACATCAAGTTGCAGGACAAAATGCATCATTAAAGCTGTTTTCAGTTTTCATTAACAGTACTATCCTTAACTCCCTCTTACACTTTTCCCATTATCTTAAATCTTTAAAATCATACCATTCTTTTGTCTTACCATCCCTATCTCCCTTTGTTACGCACAGCTACTTTTTTTTTTTGCTAGATTTAAGCTCTGCACTGCCCTCCTAATGATCACTAAACTCAATTGCTAAAGACAGTTCTATCTGGATTAAAGCCTAAAATTTCTGGATGTGCCGTCCTGTCTTGTTTTCAGCTCAATGACCACCCACCCACTGCATGTACTTCTTTGGAGTCTGGTCACTGTGAAAGACTAGGAATGTATGCGAGAAGAAACAAAACTTATTTTGGTGAGAAAGAAAGAATACAAAGGTGCCTTTTCTCCCATGGCAAGTGTACTCCAGTAGCTCCTCAGAAACAAAAGAGAAAAATCTCACCAACTTTTCCATCCTCTCCCCAATTACTGACTGTTGCCAACAATTTATCTTCTCTCAGCTACGTCCATGTGCCCTATACAATGTTCTTAAAATAGCATTACTTTTACATAATATATCTTTGTTTTTCCAGTACAAAAGTTCATGACAAAGCTAACCATCAGCCCTTTCACAAGCCCTTTTTCAGTCCTCCCAAATAACTTTCATCAGCTCCATAACATTAGATCATTAGATTAGAAGTCCCTTCTAGCAAATAAATCTATCTACTTAAGTATGAACTGTCTCTGGTCTAGCACACAGATACAAACATAAATTGTCTGAATTCAGGCTCCTGCCTATCCCATCTGATACCTACCACTGCCACTAGGCTGGAACCATAATGCTTCCAAATTGGCATCTTAATTTGCTTCTTTATATCCCAAAATTCTGCCTTCAACTTCACAGATGATCTTAATCAGCTCTTCAGAAGCCTGTGTTCCCTAACCTTCTTCCCACTTAGGCTAATCAACTGTATTTCATGAGCCATATTATATTGTCCCCAATGTTGCTTGTAGTTTTTCATAACATATTTCATTAATATCTAGTCAAGTCCCAAAAGATATTTTCTCCAAAACATGCATGCACAACCATTTGGCCCCAAGCATAATTTGAAATGTGTCCTTGCAACCCCATTCCCAAAGCCAGGTGATGACTGAAAGCTGGCGAGAAAAGCTTCAGGACATTCTCCTGCTGCCTACTGCCATGAGAAGAAAGATACCCCCCTTGTGACTTTTTTCAGTTGATGTCAGTTCTGGTTTGAATTGCTGTCATCTCTTCGGCTTTTATTCTCCATTGCAATTTGACAGTAAAAACAAAAGTTGACACCCAATCCATTTAAGCCAAAGAAAGAACCAATCTCTCACATGGCTGATAGAAGATGTGAAGCTGAGAGTAGCTACATTTTCCCTCTGAAGTAAAATAGGGAGAGAAGCAGATAAAGGAGAGCAGAATAAACTAAATCAGGAATAAAAGAGTTTGAAGAAGAAGGGTAATTTGTTTTTAACAATATGATGACAGATCAATCTGCTGGCAGAAAAGATGAGGATAAACATTTGACAGTGAAAGAAATGTGTTAATAGGATAGATATGATTTGACAGAAGTAAGGGGATAGGGAAAAAGTATTGACTTAGTGTTGTTTGACAAGATAAAACCAGCTAGGAAATATGAGTAAGGTAACAGTACAATGAGAACATATTTTACACCACATGAAAGAATATGGGCACTTATTTTACTGCTTCATACAAATATATTAACATTTACGCCCTCCTGGGCACTTCTTACACTTGCTAAAAATGCAGCAATACTTCCAGAAAGTTCCTTAGAGATATCTTTTTTCATTTATAAGGGCACTAAGACAAAAGTGATACAAGGGGTACACAATGCTGTTGGAACTCTGATTTCTAACACATAGACAACAGTGCAGAGACCGGTGTTGACCGATGTCATTGCAGTCACAATGCAGATGTGGTTTGTTAGAAAAGACAAGTATTACATAAAACGAGAGCCCTCAAAAAAGAAGGGATTCTATGTATCTGAAGTAATCTTCAGATGCAAACGGTCCCAGAATCTGGAACTGATAGAGAATCAGTCAGGGATCCCTTAAAGCTACTTTTATGAGCTTGTGCAGTAATATGCTACACATGATGAATAAAGAAGGCAGAATCACTTATTTTGGAATGGCATCTTACAAAGTACCTTTTCACAAGGGTCTCCTTTTAAAAAGACAAGAAAATAAAAAAACCAAACAAACCTTTAACACATGTTGGTTTGCTGACAGTGTTCTTTGATCCTAGTCCTAATTGTCCCCAATTGTTACTGCCAAACATGTATAGTTTACCATTCCCTGAAAAAAAAAAAAGCAGTCAGAATCCATACAAGTGTTTGAATACCCCACTCAAGACTAGATGGGCATCCACACACTATGCTATTTATTACTTCTTTTTTAATGTAAGGTTAAAGATTAGTAAACGGTAATTAACATCCTTGTGATTTTTCAGTATGAAAGTAGTAATTGCACTGTTTAAGCAAGAAACCCTCAGCCAGAAGGAACATAAAGCAGAACAAGCATTCTCTCCTCCAACTGCAGCACAGAAAATAAACTGCTCTTCAGAAAATAAAATGTTGTATGTTTGGTCACATACTGCAGTTCAGCAATCACAGTATCTATAGGCCTACTTATAAAATACCAGCACATTTAACTTAGCACCCACATCTTTTACCCCAAAGACAGGAATGAATAATACAGCTATATAATTAATACAAACACAAATTTGTAATATTCAGCTTATTTTATTGTGTGTGGGCTATTTCTTTTACTGTTAAATGACTTCTCAAAATTATTTACAAATTTGCTCCTCTACAGAACAGTTTCTGATAAATTTCCTACTATGTTCACAAATTGTATTAATTTGTTACTCTGCATATAAAGAAGGAATGCATAAAACCACCATGCAGTCATGGCATTTTGAAAACTTAAATGCAAACATTTTGACACTTCAGGATCAGTGCTAGAAGCCTGTTTCAATGAAGTGTCATAATTTCAAACAACCAGTGGTTAACAGTATGGTATGTGAACAGATGAAACTTTTGTCATTAGTCATGAAAATAAGATAGCCAAAACAGACTACTGACAATAACTCAAAACCATATTCACTTCATTTCATTTAATTTTTTAAACTATTACCTTTTGTAAAGCTGAAGTTCACACCCAAAGATAAAACCCTTGCTCTAATAGAAATCTTTGCGGAATGACAGAAACTGATTTGTCAAAAAACAAACAAAACCTGATAAACAAAAACCCCCAACACTTTTACAACTGCTAAAAGGAGTTTGTTTTCTTTTGATGAAGGTCTGCAGAGCTTTGTGAGCTAGACTCCATTACAAGGCTGTCACATAAATAAACTTTGTCACCCTAGCCATCAATAATTACAACATGATCACAAGGCATAACAGCAACTCCACATAACAATGTCAAAATATTATGGCTGTTAGCACTTCAAGAGTGTAGGCTCCCAGTGAAGGTTCTGAATGTGAGTTACAGAGTCTCTGAAATATGATATCGAAATGTTTAAAATATAACAAAAATACCTCTTCTGTTTTAAAAAATCCTTTAATTTTCTTAATTATAACCAGATAGCTAAAAAAAAAAAAAAAACCAGCAAACACACAAACCACCACCAACCAACAAAATTTGTTCCAAAATTTGACAATTTTTGGAACATGGTGCTATGTGTCAATATTGTCTTTCCAAGAAGTTTGGAAAGGAAGAAAGTCTAAGGTCAAGTCTATGCTCACAGGGTTTTACTATCTTGATAACACAATCACATCAACACACATGCAGAGGTTTCTGTCACTGAGAGCAAAATGCACCTTAACAGAAAGAATTTTTATTAGTAAATGGCATCCTATACTGGTGTATGTTTCCTTGTATCCTTGGTTTATACTGTTTAACTGCCTTCGTAAGACAGTAGTACTCCTGTGGGAGTATGGTGCCAAGCTGCTGTAATTCAAGCACATTCTATTTTATCCATTCAAAATTTCAACAAGTCATTTTTTTCATCCTATAACCTGCTATTTCTTCCACCAGTCTGTAAGTTCTCAGGCAGTGCATGTTGAGGATTTCAGCTGGTATTTCCCAGCTGATGAATGAATGCCTTCAGTAGTGCTTCGTGAACTAGGGGAGCACAACAGATGGGGTTTCCAGAAATCACAGTTTCGTATGATAATAGCAGGCAGCCAAGTACTCCTATCACCTATGTTTTAAGGTATGTTTTATAAATTCTCCCACCCTGCTTTTTAAATTATATTAGTGTGGGAGGGAAATAAAAGTGGAAACAATGTACAGACTTTGAGCACTTACTACAGGATTCTATTGAAAAGCTGTATCTAAAAAACAAAAAAAGGTAATATTTTGGACAGAGTATCATACGCCAGGCACCATAATTTATTTATGCTATTTTGTCAATAACCTATGCTAACAGTTAATTTAAAATTCATATACAATTCAAATACATTCCATGAAAACAAGACTGACATCAGTTTATTGAGCAATAAGAAGTCACATGTAGAACATTTAGAATCACAGAAACAAAAACAGTGCAGTATGTTGCTTACTCCTACACATATCAAAGGCGAACACAAATGTGTGCTCATCTTTCTCACTTTCCCCTCACAGTTGATGCAAAAAGATACTGTGCCATGCTCTGATGGCCTGTTGGTAAGTAGAAAGAAGGAATCTGCTGTCCAAAGACCTGGAGAGATTCCAATGTCTCTTTGGTGTAAATTGTTGAATATTCAGTGCCTTACAAAATGTGAAATTATGAGCATACTATCTTGTGGTTCCATATGCACCTCTTTTCATTCCTACTTTAATACTTGATACTTGTTTCTTTCTTTCTACCCTCTTGTACTGTGGCTTCAATTCTGTCCAGAGCTCTGAGTTCAGAAAATGTCTTCTGTCACCATCATTTTCGCCCTTGTGAATAGGATTAGTCTCTTTGCTCAAATGTGGGCAAGCTGCCTAGGATATTCTAATCAAGAAAAGAAAATTAATAGAAAAGTACTGGGAGGGGATTCTTAAAAATATGTAACATCACTTACTTCACAATAGCTTCTAACAGAATTAATAAATTGCTTTCCAAAGCTTTCAGTTACAGAAAATGCAGGAAGTAGACTGTCAGTATTTGTGGGCCAAAAAACAGAAATGGGGCAAGAAACACTATTAAACAAATTCCAAACGATGTTGGAAGATACAATCCTTGTGACTGTGTTAAAGAACTAAAAAAGACAGCTGCTTAAAAAAACTCCTGCTTGAAGATTTTAATGAAGATTGTGCTAATGGTAGAAAGCAAGTAAGTAATTTTGTGACCTGCAAATAAAGACTGAAAATACAATGAAGCATGCAATAACACACACCTGCTTCAGATACTTTTCCTTCAGTGATGCTTGTCTTTTGTCTCTTCCATGTCAGGTTCAGCTGGATTTCAAGAAGCTCCTGGTTTCCCACAAGGTCTGTACCCTTCTCAGTAAAGTCATTATCAGCATGTACTTCTGAAGCTTTTATTCCAGGCATTACTGCAGTTCAATGTCATTCACCAAGGACTGTAATTCCACTGTATCATCCAACTCCATCTAACAGCAGAAACGTGAGGTGCACACGGGCATGCACAGGTGTGAAGAACAAATGAGGGACAAAGATTTTCTGTTTCCCTTCTTCACTTTTTTGTATGACTATTGCAGTTTCTCTACCTTCGCTCGTCGTTGATCAGTATTTTACCGTCAACTTTGTACCAAAAGATTTTCTGAGACATTGCAAAACAGAGGCAAAGAAATTTTGCACTGTGCTTCTACAGTTCCTTCTCCTCAAAAGCTTTGAGAAAATAAAGATCTGATTATCTAGAAGTTTCCCTGGTGACATATCTGCATATTACCTCAGCAAAGGCCAGCTACAGAGACATTTTTGAAACATGCTGCATATATAAAAATAACAGGGAGAAAGGGAAATAGAGAAATGGAACTGAATGCAAACCTGTGCAAGTAGACTTCTTAAAAAGCTTTATGTAAGTGGCCACAATTACAATGACATGGGAATCAGGGGCTTGTTGCTGATACGGGTAACAGTGCTGGCACAGGCACGTGCTGGGGGAACTCAAGGAGGCAATTTAAATTGTCTAGTCTAAACTGAAGATTATAGCAGTGTTATTTCAAACTGTGTGTGGGTATATAAAAGGATATATAAAAAAGAAATCAAAAGGAAAATGCCACAGTGCTCCAGGTTACATTCTGATTAATTTTATGCAACGGACAATTTATTAGAACTGGTGCAATCCAAGAAAACACGTAGTTTTGTTCAAAATAAACTATTCATGGATAATTCATCTTCTATGAAGTTAGGCTTGAAAAATTAATTGCATTATTTCACCTCAAGATGTTCTGCAGTTCCTGAAATCTGTACTCTTTTTTTATCATGCCTGGAATAATTCATTCTAAAAACCCAGAATCTTCAACTTTGCTTGGGAACATAGTAAGAAACCTTTAAGAAATTATTTAATGAGCAATGACCAGTAGTAAGTGGATGAGGAATAAATAGATTCCAATAAAACAGACCTTAAAATATGCATATAAATTTCGTAACAGCAAAGTCTCACCTGACAGCAGTTAATTGTCAACACAATCAACACATGTGTTCATCAACAAAAGAGTAGTCCCTTCCATGCAAAATAAATTGAACAAATTCTTCAATGTATTCAGAGTATTGCTCTCATCATTTCCAATAAATTAAAACAAACATCAGTACTGCTCCCTGTATTGCATCTGAGCTTCTTTGAATGCTTTTGCAGTTTATTTTTGATTTTAGTAGGATTTTCTGAAGTTTTTTTCTTTGATTTTTGAAGTTTTTCAAGGGTTATTTTCAGTTGCCAGTTAATAGTAATTCAAATATTCATTTCAGAAATACAACATTATCTATTGTTTCAGGCAGATTCCTAGTGAACTTGTTGACTGTGTTCAACAGATACTGTTTACTACCATGATACAAACCTCTATATCTAAAATTGCGTAGTACTAAACACAATCAGATTCACCAGAAACATTCAAACTGAACAAAGTCATGCTTACTTTAAATGCTGTGAAATACATTCAGTTATTACAGCTTCCCTCATAACAGGTCTTGAGCATGTCTTGTGAAAACCTTCGGTGTCATCAATCTAACTTCAAAAGCGTCCAAAAGTTCCCACAGAGAAGTCCTCTGTCCTCTCCACAACCTCATTTGATATATTACTTCAGGATTCAAATAAGAATCATAACTTTCCAAGCTGTATAAATATATAACCTTTTATCATACACTCCATTTCCAGTACTGACCTGTAACAATAGCAGTATGTTCATCTCCACATGATATAAGTACAGGCTTGTCATTTTTGAACCAGAACTTGCTAGGAATATCTTCTGCAAATTTGCTTTTTCCGAATGTGAAAACAGCACCTGATTCTAAAACATAAGAAGATAATGTCAATTTTAGTGAAAACAGATTTCATTCACCTTTTGCTCAATCATGTGGCTCGACACAGAAAATATTAATTCTAGATGAAAACAAATGAATTTACAAGATAAATAACTTGCCCAAAACCACACAGAAAATGCGGTAAAGCCCAATTAGACCTCCTACTTTAAAATGTCAAACCTTGTGCTTCAAGCGTAGAGTAGTTTTTAGAAAAAAAATCAAACAAAAAACCAAACCTTTTCCTTGTAGACTTTTTGTTAATATGCAGTTATGATAAGACAAATACAGTAACACTAGACTGCTTCTGTGAAGTTACATAGTAACACTGAAACATCTTTGCGTATTTACTTTCAATGGAAATCTCATCAGTAGTGTGCACTCCAGCTCCTATAAAGCTCTCTCAAACTGTAAATTTGATGCTTACTTTGAAACGATTCTTTAATGCAAAAACTTCCCATATTTGCAAATAACATGTTATTTTATGCATTAGCTTCAGCAGACATGTATAACATTGTATTTAGTACCTCTCTAAATGTGTTTCTACTCTCACTGTTTTACCAAAACCAAGCCTTTTGCAGGCATGATCAAGCCTTTAAAGATACGTAGAGTTTTTCCTCATTTTACGTAGACACACTTACAACCATAAACATACCAAAAGTCATCTGAATATTCTACTTTTTTAAGCTCCAGCCGGACAGCCATACTGGATATTTGAACACGGTTATCAATATCTCCTTGGCTCTTTCGCCAAAGCAGAGCCCTCTGGTCAATTTCTTTCTTTCAGAGGACTTATACACGTATTATTAGCTTAGCGTATACAAAGAGCAGACACTTCATTCACAAATGTAACTCTGTCTCTCGTTCGCTTCACAACTGAAGCCTAAGTAGTCAGTTGGGAAATTAAATCCCACAGATCGGGGCTGTGATCAACCTGGTCTAGTGTGAGATGTCCCTGCCCATGTCAGGGGGTTGGAACTAGATGAACTTTTAAGTCTCCTTACAACCCAAACCATTTTATGGTTCTATGATAAGTGAGGGTTTTAAACCGAGCAAAGGTTTAAAAATTACCGGATGTTCAACCATGGACCAGAACTCATTTATGAACTGGAAAAGCCGCGTCTGCTTCACACCGCACCGCTACACCCTGCCGGGGAGGACAGCAGGGCTGCCCCGTCCAGTCTCTGACGCCAGAGTACGTCTTTCTCCCTGGACGCCGGAACACACCGGCCCGGCGCCCGCAGGCGGGAGGGAGCGGGCGGCGGCTGCGAAGT